TAAAGTAAATCTGCCGATTTCCACTTTTTATTCTTGGAAATAAGCTAATTGTAGCAGAGCACATTTTGCCGTGTATAGGTGAGTGCTCGTGTTTTATATGTTTCTTTTTACTGCCAGTCCTTTGCTACGCTTAACTGAGCTAATTTAAACCTTTCGAAGGGATATCGCAGGATCAAGAGGGTTTTTGTCTTACAAGCCTCTGTGTACGAGTGTTATCTTTGGTTCTACACCAATTTTACGAGGTGCTTTCGGAACGACGACTTCTGTTGCAATTTCGTTAATGATAAGCAGCCAATTAATGGAATTCCTTTATTCACTTATTTTAATTAATTCTTGCTGCAATAAAGTTAAAACCTGCCACCCCATTGAGCTTGTTTGCTAACTCAACTTTTGTTGATTATTTAACCACTTACTTTGCACAAATTGTTAAATATTTATTTGCCTCATTTCAATTTGTCTAATTTGAGTTCCACCTAGTTTATTAAATATTCACGTTAATACCTACTTATATCGATTGCAAATGCCCCAAGTATTTTTGGTATACCTACTTGATTGAGGCGCGCTTAAAAATTGAAAATCGGGTTTATATAGTTATGTGCACTTTGCCTAACCCGGAACACTCCGGTTTTGCCCGGAGGCTAAACAATGCCAGGAGCTGAGAGCCTCGCCCGGTTTATGCGATCATAATTCACGGTTTTACTTCAGCAATGTCATTGGTTGTTTTATTGCCTCCATTTGATAATGTAGTGGACCTGCAACGCTCGACAAAATTTAACACGGCACCAATACCGACCTGAAATTTATGAAACAAATCAAGAAAGTACATTTTCAGTAGACTCATAGCCAGACTGTGGTAACTTGGTTTCATGGGAATTTGTTGAGATAAACCTTATCTCTTTAACTTTAATATGCAGTTAAGTTTCAAAAAAAGAAGAAAACTTCTTAATTTTTTGTATTTTGCGGTTATTTTCTTAATGCAACTTTTTTTGAATAACATAATTATATTCAATTAACGGGTTTTTTATTACCGTAAAACAAATTTGACTAAAATATGAATAAACAGATACAAAAGTAAATCTAAAACCTATTATTATACAAGTAAAAATAGTAAAGACAAATTCAACATCTACTACTTACTGAAATAAAGCTTTTATGATTCTGGCTTAGATTCGGGAGCGTGCAGTAAAACCATTATTTATAAAATCGTTTTATTTTTTTACTTTTTTTATTACTCTAGAGTCTAATACAATCAGGAATTAATCATGCAAGTTTTAAAGGTGGAACTCCCTGGACGTGTAGTTAATTGGTTATTACAGTAACCAGTCGGTTGGTGTTTTACACAGTTGCGAAGTTTGTGTTTGGAAAATGATCGCTGGAACCGTTTTAATTAAAGGCTTTATAATAGTTTGCCTGTTTTAGACAAATTTCAGAACTGATTTAAGCACAGTACACGTACAATGAAACAAGTTGAATTTAATCGTGCTTCTTGCTTATTGATTATATGTGAGAATCAGAGTTACAACTGCATCAACAGAATAACAGGATTAGACGTAAATGCAATGTAGGCTCCCTCCAAAAGGCAGTAATTAGATTTAAAGTTCTAATTTCGTGCTAATCAGCATAGGCGAATGGTTGTGAAATGGTGTAATAATGGATATCTGTGTTAATGTCGGGGGGTTCACTGTTCACTTGCATTCTTCTTGCGACCCCATTAAAACTTACACGACTCAAGCTGAAGATATGACAAATAATATTTTAGAAACTTCTTACTCGAGGAAACTTTTTCATTACATGCAAGTCGCCAGAAACTTGGATTGCAGAACACTGGCGATAATTAAATTTTCGTCCACCTGTAATGGAGTTTGTAACTGCATTTGCATTCGAGATTGAAATAGAAAAATCACCGAAAGTCGTTTGTGACTCTATGCACCTCGGAATAGTTATTAGTGAGATTTACTATACTTTTATATTATGAGATATGGTTTAATGCTGAAAAAACCTAGATATAGCGTCGCCTTTTCATCTCAATAAAACTACTGTGCAACCTAATTTCCGCGAAACGAGCAAAGGCAAAGCGAAGATAAATGTTTAACAGGCTCTACCTAATTCATTTCACAAATTTAAATTGCAATTTGTTAAATTGTGCCTTAACAATGTAAAATTTATGGCATTCGCGAAACTTTTGACAATTCACTGACTCTTTTTCATTTTTCTTTTGTATTGACCCTACCTATATTGTGAGAATCACGGACATGGCCGTTTTTACAACTTATTTCATCAATATTTTTTCTTTTTTACTTTTACAGTTGTTTTTATAGACTTCCAGTCCCGGTCTCCGTTCGACGTGATATTACAGAAATAATAGACTTATCTGGTAGAGTGACAGCTTTCATTAAATGACAACTCGAAACCGTATTACAAGACGTATTGTTGGAAGTGGGAGAAGAAATATGTTGAAAAAGACATTTTAAAAAAATGCTGCACAACGAAGCAATATGAGCTTTCGTATAGAATTAGAGATTTTGCTACTGACATAGCTGTTCATTTAGGCTTTTATTGTCTATTAAACAAGAGCTTTTTATATAATTTGGTGTCGAGTACGACAATAGGAAATTTAGGTCATTGTTGGAATGTACAGTGGCGTACTGAGCCCTTAGCGGGCCCGTGTTCCAAATTAATAATAATAATAATTGTAATATACAGTAGTCCCCGGATTGAGTTTACAAGAGCATCTTTGATTTTACGGCAAAACTGCAAAGGAAAAACATTTTTTGCTTCATCTGAAACACGCAAATCTGTAATTAAAACTTCATTATTCTTATTCTCATTAGAAAAAAAAGTTTGTTTTTCTCTTGATTTTGGACTTGATTTTGAAATAATTTTACTCTGCTTTTTAAATCTTATCACATAGGCGGTTTTATTTTTTTGACAATGATGTTACTTTGACAAATGAGTTTTCACAAGTTAAATAAAAAAATGTTTGTGAAAAACATAATTTTGATAAATAGCAAGTCAGAGAAACAGCTTTATTATAAAAAACAAAGTCACTTTTAGCAAAAACTATCATTATTTAATTAATAAATTAATTGTCAAAGTGACATATAAATAAATAAAACCGCCAATGTAATAGGACTTAAAAAGCATAGAAAAATTATTCTAAGTTCAAAATTAAGCGAAAAACGAACTGTTTTTTTTACTGAATCAGAATAATGAAGGTTTAAGTACAGATTTACTGGTTTGAAATAAAGCAAAAAATGTTTTTCCTTTACAGTTTTGGCGTAAAATAAAAGATATTTTTTTCCCTTTGTAAACTCAATCTGTAGACATACTGTATAAGAATAATAACTTAATAAATAATATAATATAAAAAAAAACATTCCAAGATTTAAAAACAAATTAATAAATATTTCCATTATCCCATTAAATATACCGCATGTTCCAGTTAAATCCCACATTAGAAGTATTGAAATTTCTGATAATGATTTTTGTGTAAAAATTTGTACAGCGTGTTTTAAAATAATTGTCGTCTATTCGCCTATTTTCTTACATGTAAATTTTTCTGTGCCGCTCTACTCTTTCTGAATCAGATAGTTTTATCAATAGTGATAGTTGTTAATTAAAATAAATTAACATTTGTGGTTAATTAGGTTCAATATTTTTAAAGCGGCATTTTTTATTTTGCATAGAAATTCCATAGGCAACTAGATGAAAATCATTTTAAAACACGCTGTATATGTATAGCCATAATCAGTTAGGTCAAACTCAATGAAAATATTTTCATGGTGGTAGCACGTCCGGTTATATAAAAAGCTATGTTTTTTATTGCGTTTTTGAATACCCCGAATTATTCATTATCGATTTTTTCTATACCTAAGTTCAGCCGTTTATGAGATTTTTAGACTTTTATTGAAAATTTTTGAATTTAAACCCTTCTACTAAAAAATCGATAACTATGCAATTTTTAACTACATATTATGAAATCGTATTTTGACATTTAAAAAGAAAAGAATCGGTGGATATATGATTAAAAAAAATATTAACAAACCCTCAAAATTTAACGTTAAGTTTGGGGAAATTCAAATTCTAAATGAAACATTTTAAATTTTTCTTCATTAGATGGATTATTCTGTTAGATGAATTAAATTCTGCTTTGATCTGTATTAACATCCTCTATACCTATATGCTCATGCAGGCATAACATTTTTTAGTCATCACAACCTAATTTTAAAAGCTAATAAAAAAAAAATAATTTACAACTTTCTTTAATTCTGGACAACGAAAAACCCGTGCCCGGCCTCTTTAGGTTCCGGATCCGTGTTCCGCGGAACCCACGGAACCCTGCTCAGTACGCCACTGGGAATGTATCTTTGTCAAGTTCGCCAATGCCGATTTAACTTTGCTGCTTCTTGTTTGTGTCCATAGGGCAATAATGTGAACTGATTAGTAATTTATTACAGCAAAATTGATTTAGTATTTTGTAGCAAGCAATTAGTACTTGGTAAATTGTTAATTACTAGAGTACAAAACTAAAATATTAAAGAACTGTGTTTTAAGTTTTGTGTAACTTGCTTCACTAATAAACAAATATGAAATATTCGTTAACGAAGTCTTAGCGGATAACTTTGATTCTTTTCTTTTTGTTCTTAAAAATAAATTCTCGTATAATTATTTCATACATCGTGATGTCCCTAAGTGCTTAGCTTTCTCCACGGGCCCCAAAAAAGCAAAAATCCTGAAAGTCCCTCACTTTCATCGTGAATTATCCATATCCCGATATCAATCTCGTCAAAAGCTTTCTTCTGCAATATCAATCCATATCTATCAATCATTGATAATGTCAATATTGCATAAGTTCTCTGGGTATTGTCATCTGGCGCGTGCTATAGCAATCGGACCTCGGGAGGAAATTCAGGCATGCGAATGTTCCTCACGTTAGATCGTCGTCCGTTGAGGAGCTTCACGCACTGAGTCACGCATCACGCAGCAGCCTAGGCTCTCGGGCTGCAGAGAGAGCAGATCAGCAGCAGAGTGCGCCGTGTCAATTGTACGACGGTCGCGCTTCAACCAGGTCGCACTGTCGGCATCCCAGTGTCGGTATGGCTTTCGCGACGTGTGTGTGTCTGGCACTCTGTGTAGCGGCGGCGGCGGTGGGGGCGGCGCCCAGGGAACCCGCAGGAGAGCCCTGCCAGCCCGACAAGCTCACCGTCTATAAAGTGGTCCTGCACACCTTTTGGTCCAGGGATAAATTCCCAAAGCACTATCCCGACTGGAGGCCTCCGGCACAGTGGTCCAAAGTTTTCGGTGAGTTCTAGAGCTTTCACCTCTGAAAATACGCAAATAAAATTCAATACAACATTGCCAAAACGAGACTTAACATTGGGCACATATTTGCACACTCTTTGTTTACAGATGTTTAATTTAATTCCCTATAAAATGTGACGCTGAAATGACAAAATTACAATTTTAATATTTATAAACGACAAAATCAAAATTTGAATTTTAACAGGTATAACTAGAATATAAGGTCTTCTATTACGTCTTGAAAGTAAATTTCATTTTCAAATATTTTCTTACAGCCAGCCATTACAGTCTCAGATAACAAACAGAAAATATGGGTGGTCTGTTAGACTTGAATTTTAGTGAAAGAAGAAATACAGATTTGTATTAGGATAAATCAAGGTTCTTGGTTTACCTTTTGACTATATTTTGAAAAGTTGTTGGCTGTATTTTTTCTTTTTTTTGTTATAACATTTTTTTAGTGTGTATCTTCGCTGCGGTTTTATTGTGGGACGCTTGTTCAAATTAGAATGAAGCAATAAAAACAATTTATAGCAATCGATTCTATCTTTAGTAATTAGGGGGGTTTGAAATGAAATTTTACTTTCAAACGAAATATAAATATTTACATTGAGGGAAGTTTGGACTTAGGTATATTAAATCATGTTTGCAAAAGGTGAGTTATAATGGTTGCAAATTGGGGCGATTAGAGAGTTGTACTTTATGGAATTTAGCCTCAAACTCCAATATGGTGAATGTATGTTAAGTTAACCACAGTTTGAAACTAATATAGCAGTTTTGGAAAAATATTGAATACATAGATAGTTGTAATTTATAAGCATTATTGTATTATGTATTAAAATTGATATTAAATCATTATAATTTACTAAATGTTGACCGTATAGAACATTGCAAATATGATTATACAATTTGTATCACGTAATGAACATCAAAGTCGTTTGATTTATAAATTAATTAATTAATAAATAAATTGTTTAGTTGTCCGATTTGCATATTTATAGTTTCAATTTAGTTTGAGAATAAAAAAAAATGATGGACTAGATCGTAATCATTAGTCTTATTTTTTCAGTACCACCTATCTCGAAATTAGCATACTTAATAAATAAAACAGTTTTGATTAAAGTAAAATATTCAGTAAAAATTGTATTTTTTAATCTCACGCTTGATGAAATTAGTTTTTTTACTGGGTAATTAAATTCAACAATATTCCGAAGTGTATTCAAGCTTATCGGCGGTTTTCATTACAACCAGAGCTTTTTACATCACTTTATCGTTTTTAATGTATACGAGCAATAAAGCGTGTTCGAAGTTTGCCGGAAGAGTGTAAGTTTTTCTTGTTTATTTTTAATGCCTTTTCCTTCCATCTTGACGGATATTAGCATCCTCATCAATCATCACCGCTTCAACCTCACGTGTACGTGTTTCTAATTTCAATTATCCTGAATTTAACTTCGATGTTTGTTCAGGATCAGAACCCTTTTCGAGTATCGTAGAAAATAAGTTCAAATATAATATTGGCGGGAAACTGGTCTTGTACCAATTAGTCGGTGGATAATAATGTTGACAGGGTCAGCGGTTCATTCGGCCATCCATAACCTTGCCAATATTGGAAATGGGTGTGGATTGTGAATTTGTATTTATAAGCCGACGGACGGATCAACCAAAATCAATTTCGAACCTAATTAAAATTCGGACTGGGGAAAATGTGACAAAGCTCGCCATTTTGTTTATCAAGCAATGGAAGTTGAACGAGGATGATTTGTGTGGTCAGTTAGCGAAAAGAATCTTCCCGTAACGATAACGCAACCCACTCGTCATCCGAATTTGCATAAAGATAACTTTGCGGCATAACTGGAAAGACAACATGTTAAATAAATTAAGAAGCGGCTGCAGACAGCTTATTGTCGCTGCTGATGTGTCAGACTTTGTCGATTTACAGCTCCGCTCTGATAAATTCTCATCATACTCCACACAGCAATTATTATTTTGCTACGCATTGCTGATCCTCAGATGATGTCTCAACATCATTAAGACGAACAATTCGCCTTTATGTGCTTAATCCTTGAAATGAATTTCCGCAAATTTTTCGCGGTATTTATCTGCAAGAAATTTTAATCATTGTCCCTTTGAAGCTGTAAATCTGATAAATGTATTCGTTTTGTTGTGGAGAGTGCGATGATAAATGTGGCTAGAGGCGAAGGTGCGGTTCTGGCACACCCTGTATATCACGATGGGGGTTTCTTAATAAGCGAGTCATGAATAGGCATAAACAAGATAATGCACAATTTAATTCAACACTATCAAAAAAGCCTAATTTATTAGACAAGACAATGGCTTTAATTTGACTGTAATACTTAACCTGTCAAAATATAAATTATTTCTCTTCTAATTATTGTTATTGATTTTCGCAAAACATTTTTGACTGTACGTAACTATAATTGCAAAAGTTAATTGTAGTTTGATGAGTTTTGGTTCAGCTGACCACTAATTGAGTGCTCTCTTCTCGACAAAATTTTTTGATTAATGTAAATAATATCTAGGACAAAAAATTGCAAAATCTGGAATTAATGTCGCTTTCTATTTTTTCGCTTGATATCAAATCGCACACGCATCTTTTTCAAAAGGAATTCACCTACACGGACAACATTTTTATCGTTTTGTTTTCAATCAAGTTTTGGAAACGAGGGAATGCCAGAAAATAATTTATTGGAAGAGAATAGGGGTCAAGATTTTTCATTGGATTAATTGGTTTTGTTTTGGGATTTTTCTTACCGCTTTTCTTTGACATGATGACATATTATTCGTTTCGGCTTTGCTTAGGAGATCTATGTAATAGGTACTACCACAGGGAGAATGCTAATAGAAACATGTGTTGGCTATATTTTATGGTTACAGCAAACGTGTCCTCATCTAATATTAGAATAAAAGGCAGAAAAGTCTTCACATACTTAATTTGTATCAAGAGACCGGGCGTGATTATTTGGATTGGTTTCATAAAGTCAACGTGGCTGTTTTCCTGTATATAAAGCTATAAATAATGAAACCACCACCATCCATAATCCGCTTATGTTTTTAGCTGTATTTGTAGTCCTTTGCCATTACGCTCAGTCAGAAAATCTTATTTAATGTTTATTTACGTGACATATTACCTCGTGAAATTCTTTAATCGCATCTGAAACATTGAAAACCGTAATCAATAACTAATTTTGCCATTTAATTAAAATGCTGAAATTTCAACAGTGAATCCTAATCAATCTTGAATAAAGAAAAACCTTCAATGGAGTTTAATTTATTATTCACTATTTTATAAAATTTTTAATTTCAAACTACTTGATGTAATTAAATCCCATGTTAATCACACACTAAATAAAGCAATCGATATTTTATGTTTCAGTTATCTCCAATATCAGCAATCCATCAAATGAGATTTGACGAATTTTCACCGATTTGTCGATTTCCATAAAATAAGCGCTGAGCTAAATGCAAGAGCTTTTCCTAAGCAGATTAATTAAAACCCTCAGTTTACAAAGATATCCAAATCATAAATTTAGGTTTAACGCGATTTGGACAGTGGTAATAAAACATCGGATTTTTAAATCAAATCAGATCACTGTGTTTCAAATTGGATTACATTTTATGTATTTGCAAATTCAAATGTGCGAATGAAGCGAGCGAATGAGCGAATCGCTAAACTAGAAAGCAGTTTGCATTGTTGTTAATTTTATCTAAATCTTGTCTCGTAACATATTGCTCAATGTTCATTTGAGTGTAATTCGGAGTAATTAAATAGACATACCTTTCATTTTATTGGTAATTAAAATGTTAATTAGGATTATGTAGTTGCTGAAAAATTGTTAGGTAATTGCTGGTGTGGTATAAATTGGATGATTGATACGTCTGGTCTAAAAAGCATGAGTAACAAGTCATAAATATCAATCTGAACCTGTTTATACAATTACAGAAGTCTGTATGGAAATCGCATATGAAAGTACAATGACATTTCGAATTGATTTGGTTAAAATTCGCATATATCGCCAGTGTAATACTTTCTTTCATTGCGAGTTTCTGTATCTCCCTTAAACCGGATATGAAACGGAAGCTAAAAGGGCAATGCAAATTCTACTCGTTTCAGATCTGTGCGAATTTATGTCTTTTTGTATTATTGCCAACATATCGGAGATTTACATAATCCACGTTGATTCTTTTTTCCACTTTGACAATCTATTAAAATAGATATTTCTTCCGATATTTGGGTCAACTCGGCCCTTTGGCTATGTGAAATATCTTTCTGACTCTTATTTAACCTGAGGGTAGGCACTTTATTGAAGCCATTTGAGGCTTTCTTTAGCAACCATTTAAAGACAACCGCTGGTGATAAAGCTTTTGCGTCTCACGGGATTCTTTTTCGCATACGTTTGAACTTTTTACCACATGTGTGGCCTCGTTTGCAATCATAAACTTTGATTGACAGCATTCTAATTCATGCCAATTATTTTCGGTTAAAATAGCTGGTCCTTATTTGGGGCCTGTTATGTCATTTGCGGAGGGGTGCACTGAACTCGAGATGTGATGGAACATCAGGACATGCCAGTTTAACACGTGTCGGTTTCAGGAAGCGGACCACTTCGGAATTAAATTGCGAATTGATTGAGACATTTTTTAAGCTAATTATAGCAACTGGAATACCAACTGTTGGCAAATTATAAACCGCATGGTGACACAAAAGATTATTCAAATCAAAATAGTTTTTTTTCGTTTAAATTTTACGAGTATAAACGTGTTTATTTGCTATTAATAAAACACAGTCAATTTGTAAATCAAACTTCAGAATGCATTGTGTAATTAACTAGGAGTATATTTTTAAAAGTCAGTTTTTTGTTAAAAAATGTACCTATCTGAGATTTAAAATAAATATTAACAAAACTCCCAAGCGATATGTTTTTATGCCCGTATTTATCCAAATCTAATTTTAATTATTGTAATTAAGTCTGTGATGGTTATCC